AGGGTAGGTTGGGTTGGAAGGGTCCTTAAAGATCAAAAGGCCATAGGATAGGTTAGGTTGGAAGAGTCCTTAAAGATCAAAAGGCCATAGGATAGGTTGGGTTGGAAGGGTCCTTAAAGATCAAAAGGCCATAGGGTGGTCTATATTGGAACGGTCCTTAAAGCTCACGGAATGGGTTGGATTGGGAGGAACCTTAAGCATCACAGTCGTGGAATGGTTCAATTGGCAAGGCATCCACAACTTACAGAATAGTGGTGGTGGCTGGATGGCATTCAAACTTGTTCTCCAGATGAACACGGAATCTCCCGTTTTAGCAGTAAGTAGAACGTGAGCTAAACCATCCAAGGGAGGATTTAGGTTATTTCCAGCTATGAGTGTGATGTAGTAGCACAGAGATGGCGTGTGTTTTCACACTCACTGCTGAGCATTTTCACACCTCACTGCTGGGCAGTGCTGCTTTGAACCAGAGGAACGTGGTAACCCTGGGATCAGTGCTCTGTCTGCACTGCTGTCGATTATCCTACCATTACTGCTGTACTTGGAGACTGACCAAACACGGTGTTGTCCGATCGGTCTGAAGCCATCCTCTAACTGCTGAATACGTGCTGCTTATGCATTTTTTCTTTTCTGTCACACACAGAATACATTCAGAAATATGCAACAGAAGAAGCACTAAAAGAGCAGGAAGAAGGCACCGGGGACAGCTCGTCTGAGAGCTCCATGTCCGACTTCTCGGAAGACGAGGCTCAGGATATGGAGTTGTAGTAGAAGAGGCAACCTGCTTTTCAGAGAGACTCTAATTTCCTAACCATGAGAAGCAGACTATAATATTCATATTTAAACAAAGCAATTTTTTTTATTACTAAACAAGGTTTTTATGAATAATAGCATTGATATATATATATATATATATATCACCCTTTAGATCTTGATTTTTTTTTTTCTTGGTCATTTCTCAACCCGAGGTGCATAGCATATTCCCACATTCCATTTTGGTAGCAATATGCAGCCCAAATGCATGCATTCAGATTCCATTTGGCCAAGTCAAACTTGTGTGCTACTGAACTGTCAGCTCAAACAGCTGCCCTGGTAGGTAGGGAGTTAGCAAAGAGGTTTGCTTTCCGATCGATGTTTCCAAAGAACACCACCTTGGATGCTCACATGGAACAGCGTTTTCTCTTCAGATCAGTCTGAGGGGATGTGCTATGAACTACACAGATCAGACAGTGGGATGGAAGGTGCTCCTTCAGGTCAACCTCGCCGATGGTTTTGGATGCGGAGTCACATTTAAAACGTTCGACAGAACCAGCACCGATGCATGGAGCTCCTCAGAGCCTTGAAGTTTAGACTGGGATTTTCAGTCCGTTTTTTCTATGTGGACTCCTGCCTGCCCTTCTGAACCGTAGGGACTGACAACCACTGCTCCATCCATCCGCTTTTGGGACTTTTGGGAGCCTTCATCTGGATGTTATTCTTTCGGTCTGGATTACGAGCTGTTCCCTCGCCGGGAGGAATGAAACACAAACAATGCTCTTTGGTTTAGCTGGAGCACGTGCGTAGCCCAACTCTTCCTTCGTCATCCTTTTTGAAACTGCTGCCCTTCGTGGCTCCAAGTTTCGCTTTTTTCTCTTGCTTGAAGGATGCTTGAACACCTCGCCAGCACCTCCATCTCCTGGGGGGGCTCTGAGCAGATGGATGAGCCGTGCTGAGAGCTTGGGATCCGCGGAGATCGGCCCCGTTGGCTGCGGTCCACGAATCCATCGGCACCCATTTTATTTTCCTTTTTCTCCCCTTCTGCACCAGCTTGGTAGCCATCTGCTTGTGTGTGTACAACAGGATTAAAATTTCTTAAAGTTAACAAAGAATGTGATCTAGGAGAAAAAAAAAAAAAAAAAAATGAGATGAATAATAATAATAAAAAAAAAAAAAGCCTAAAAGCACCAATTGAGGAAGCAAGTGAATCTGCTCTTCTTTTTTTTTTTTTTTTCCTGATATATATATATATACTTTTTTTTTTCTTTGACAAATGAAATATTTGATTTCTTCGGGTGTTTTTCCGCAAGCTGAGATTTGTGTTTGTTTGTTTTGATGCTAAGGAACGGAGCAAATGTCTACCTGGGATGCTGGTATACTTGAATTTGGATAATCGTGCGTTGGAGATCGGAGTGGAGATGGATATTAAACCTGAACGTGACCTGCTGTATTTTGGGGGGGGATTTCGGAGGGGTTTGGGTGAGATATTTTGATGTGTGGCGCAGCCTATGGGACGATGCATGGGAACTGATGCAGCCCGTGCTGCTCTGAGCAGAGTTCTGAACGTCGGGTCGGTGCGTTTGGCTTTTCCCAGCCGTGTTTTCCTTTAGGAGCGCCACCGAGTTCCGAGTCAGCGGGGTTGGAAGGGTTACAATCCTATTTCTAATTCACATAAAGCACAATCGATTCGTTTTGAAGAAAAAGAACTCATAAAGTACCATTTTGCTTTAGCATGATTTTCCTTAATAAAAAATATACAAAGAATTTCATTTATGCTGATTACGGGCATGAAGCAAAGGGTTTTGTTTTTTTTTTTTCCTTTTTTTCCCCTTGCCCCCCACCCTCTTCTTTTCTTTTAATCAGTAACGTAGGGCTGTGGCTAGTGACTGTGCTGAAGTTCTCTATCTAGCATTTGTGGCTTGTTGGAAGGGTAATATTAACTATTTAACATGTAATGGTGTACTTAACTCTTATCTAGCACGCTGTTTTCTCATTATTTGGGGTGGGAGGGGCCACATTTGCTGGCACTGTTTACCTTGCTTACCTGCTGACGTAGCAGTTTGCTTGTGCTATAACCTTTACTGTAGGTGCTACTTAGGAGTAGAGTCAGTGCTGGGTGGTGATATCAGATTTAAAAGAAGAAAACAAAAAACAAAAAAAAAATCAAAAAAAAAATCAAAAAAAAAAGAAAAACACAATAAAAATTTGTATTTTTTCAATATTGTATAAAAACAGTGTTCTAATTACCTCACCCCGTTTCTTTTTGCAGGTTAGCCCCATCGCTCCGTCCCTCCCACCTTTGTTTCGATGCATCCCGCTCGCACGCTCTCCCCTCAGTTTGCTTCACAGAGCACTGGTTTCACAGAGGTTCCCCAAAAAACCCGTGCTTGGTGCAGCCCTGACCCTGCCTGGGGCTCCTGGCACCGCTCTTCTTTCCTCCCCATCTTCTCCTGTGTCGTTTTTCACCTCTTTTTCCAAGTCTGCCTCCTGAAAGAAACCTCCCTCCACCCCATCCAATAGCTTGTAAATAAAACCACGTGTGTAGACTGGAAAAGGTGGAGCCTTATTACAGCACGGTAGCTTTTTTTTCATCTTGAGGGTGGTTGTTTTTTTTCTTTTTTTCATTATCAGCATTCATAAAACAGCGTTGTCATTGCCTCATGCTCTCTTGCACTGATGGGAGCATCAGCCAGCCCTACCCCGACCCCCATCTCCCTGCTCTCAGATGAGCTCCCCCAAACCAAACCTTGGTGCTGAATTGGAAACAGGCTTTGCCTTCTGCTCCCATCGATTTCCCTTTTGGCTGTCAAGGATTTTGCTTCTCTGTGGTGCCAACAGGGTCATTGGAAGCTTCTTGGTGTCCTTGCTGCGCCATGGAATGTGTTCCCCAAGGGCTTTTTTCCTCCATCCCGTTGATCGCTGGGAATTCCTTGGTGTCATCATCACCGTCCCTTGGGGTCAGTAGGACATGTTCCTGCATGGCTTTCTTGTAGCTCTGGTCATGAGGAGCTCTTTAATACTATCGATGCTACGCTATGGGATCAATGGAACGTGTACCCCAATGGCTTTGTTCTCCAATCCCATCACTTTGGTCACTGGAGGTTCCTCAATGTCAACAGGATGCGTTTCCCAATGGCTTTGTTCTCCAATCCCATCCCTTTGGTCACTGGAAGCTCTTTGGTGTCATTGGCACTGCCATGGGATCAGTGGGATGCGTTCCCCAGTGTCTTTTTTCTTGCATCCCGCTGGTTGTTGGAAGCTCCTTGGTGTCATCAACGCTGTGCCATGGGATCAGTGGGACGTGTTCCGCGATGGCTTTGCTCCTCCATCCCATAGATGTGGTTTTTGGAAACTCCTTGGTGTGTATGGCACGCGTTCCCCCATGGCTTTCTTCATCCATCCTATTGGTCATTGGAAGCTCCTTGGTGGCATCAACACCTTCCCTTGGAGTCAGTGGGACGTGTTTCCCCAATGGCTTTGTTTCTCCATCCCACAGATTCGATGCCTGGAAACTCCTCAGTGTCAATGGAACACATTCCCCAATGTCCATCTTTGTCCATCCTACTGGTCATTGGAAGCTCCTTGGTGGCATCAACACCTTCCCTTGGAGTCAGTGGGACGTGTTTCTCCAATGGCTTTGTTCCTCCATCCTATAGTTTAGATCTTTGGAAACTCCTCAGTGTCAACAGGAAGTTCCCCAATGGCTTCGTTCCTCTATCTCATGGCTTTGCTTTGCGGGCAGCATGGAGCAGAGCTTTGCCATCACCTCAGTACCACTCAACCTCGACTGGGACGGGCACACGCCCCGCATCCAAGGCTCTTCTTCCCATCCTACGTAGAGTCAGAGGTGTTTCACCCCTTTTCTCCTTCCTTTTTGCTCACCCCAAGTTCTACTAGCACTTTCGCAGGGGTGTCCGCAGCGTGAGAAATGGCCATTATTTTACTGACTGTATTTGGTACCTATCGTGTGATACTTGAAGAGATCGGGGCGTTTCGCCCTCCAACAGAGTCTAAACTCTCTTTGTTTCCTTTTTATTCCCCTCCTTTCTTTTTTGTTTTTCCTCTTGCGTTGTGATGTAGTGGGCAAATCTGCCCCCGCTGACGAAATGCCTCTTCTCTAAGAGTATAACCTCGCCGGTAGTTGTGTATAATGACAGAACTGTAAACTTTTTTTAAAATAAAAAATATGTATATACCTCAGAGGCTGCCTGGTGCTTGAGCTTCGTGCAGGAAGGGGTCCTGTACCCCACATCATTGGCTCCGTGGGATTTATGGCACCCTTGGGGCATTTTTTGTGTCGGGGATGAGCTCTTGGCCGATGGAAAATAAATCATGGTGGCTGATGACTGAAAATGGGGCTGCATGGGGTTGGATGCTGAGCATTTCTGTGGAATCATCAGACGTCTGTGGTGGCCACCCAGTGCAGCCATCAGCCCATCACCACCGTGCCCACTCATCATTGAGGCAGGAAAAGATGGCTGAGATCATGGAGTCCAACCACCAACCCACCACCAAGAACCTCTGGGATCAATCATCTGGCCCGATCTTCAACCCATCACCAACCCTAAATCCACGTCCCTAAATCCCATGTGTGACGTTTGGCTTGATGTTGGATGGAAATTGGGATGTAAGACGATGCGTGTAGGGATGTGAGTTCCCCAGCCATTGGTGTTTTGTGGGGCAGGACAAGGGGAAGGGGATGCAAGCCCATTACTGGGCCGTGGTCTCATGTGTGGCTTGTCCCCCTTGCCCCCATCCTGGCTTGACTTGCAGCTGCTGCCCCAAATCTGCTGGAACTCCCCAAAATTCTTTGTGTTTTTTCGTCTTTGAGGTCAGGGTGGCAGATCCGTGTCGTACCAGTGCCACCTGCTGCCAGCACCCAGCCTGACACCCTCTGCCACCTTCTGCCCCACAGGTGGCAATGGGACATCCAACCCCCACCGCCACCAATTGGAGCCACCAACCCTGCAGGCTTTTGTTCCTTTTGCCCTAGAGAGGGAGCAGGGCAGGGAGCACTTTTATTTCCTCTGCCTGTTCTCCTCCCATCTTGGGTCTTTTAGGGACAGCTGGGGGTGACACTGTCCCCTCTGCCCAGCAGGTGGCCCCCGAACCACACCAGTCGCTTCCCGCTCTGTCCTGTACGGGGCAGATGGGATTTGGGGTATTACGGGGAGTCAGGAGCATCCTGTCCCAATTGTGTCCAAGCTGAAGGGCATCAAAAGGCGAAACCTATTGAGCGTGGATTCCCATAGGGCTGTGTGTGTCATCCACACGTGGCTTTGGGTGCTGTCCCTTTGGAGTTTTGGGTACCAACACCATGGGGTGTCGCTGCTTCCTCCACGGGGATCGGGGTGCCATCCCCGCGGTGCTTTGGAGGGTCTTTTCCAATAGGGCTCTGAATGACATCCCCATGGGGTTTCGGGTGCCTCTTCCATGGAGTTTCTGGCTGCCACCCCCATGGGGCTTCAGAGGTCTTCATGAAGTTGTGGCTGTTACAACTGTGGGGTTTCGGTTGTCTTCTCCATGGAGCTTTGGGTGCCGTGCCCAGTGGGGTTTGGGTTATCTTCTGTTTGATGTCATCTCCATGGGGTTTTGGTTGTCTTCTCCACAGAGCTTTGTGTGCCATGACCAACAGAGCTCTGTGTGCCATGACCACTGGGGTCTTCTTTTTGGCTCTGGATGACATCCCCACGGGGTTTGGGGTCAATTCTCCACGGAGCTTTGGGTGGCAGCACCATGGAGTCTGGGGTTTCTTCCCTATGGAACTCTGGGTGCCATCTCCATGGGGTTTCAGGTGTCTTTTCTTATGGAGGCTCTGGTTGCCATCTCACAGGACTTTGGGATCTTTCCCCATACGATGTTGGTTCCATCCCAACGGGTCTCTAGGTACCATCCCCGTGTGACACGTGTGCCATGGGCTCTGGGTACCACTCCTCCCCACTTTGTCCCCACGTCACAGCAGATTCTGGACTCTCTCACACCTCCACGAGCACCCAGAAACTCTCCCCATCCCAAAAGCACCCAAAGGACCTCACACCCATCCGGATGCCACCCCCCAGCAGCAATACCCACACCGCCGACCCAGGGATGTGCATCTCCACGTGAGCATCGAGACAGGTGACCCCAAGGGCTGCGGGGGACACCTGAGCCCCTCCACCTGCCCCATGCTGGCTCTGGTTACGGCCCCAATTGTTCCTCCCTCTGGAAGAAATGCCGTCAGCGCCGGCGGATCGGTGGCCATTACTAATGCATGATGCTCTGGCGGGGAACGGCTGTGCCTGACCCCATCACTGGGGATTCTGACCCATTTTTCTCTCCTTTGCTCCTTGGTTTTCAGATCTTTTTTTCCCATTTTGGGGGGCATTTTTCTTCCTCATTTGCTCCGGGCTCACCACCAGGTGAAGCTGAGCTCAGCAGCTTTGCCCCAATCCCCTCACCCACCCCAAATTTCCAAAGCTGTGAGGAACCCAACCCTATTGCCTCCCCTGTGGTGTTTGGGATGCATTCTCCACAGAGTTCTGGGAGCTACACCCATAGGATTCTGGTTGTCCTCCCCATGGAGCTTTGAGTGCCATACCCAATGGGGTTTGGGGTACGTTGGATTCCATCTCCATGAAGTTTTGGGTGCTTTCTCCATTGGAGCTTTGGGTGCCAGCACCTGTAGTCTGGGGTTTCTTCCCTATGGTGCCATGACCATTGGGTTTTGGCTGTCCTCTATGGAGCTTTGGGTTCCATCCCCATGGGGTTTTAGAGGTGTTCTCAAT